ATATATATATATTGAATATACACCTATTTCAATTAAGGTACGTTATCCCCGAGCAAAACGGAAAAGTCGAATACGAGCGCGAAAGGCTCGCTGGGAATTCCCAGCAGCCTTTCGCGCTCGTATTCGACTTTTCCGCTTTGCTCGTGGACAACCTTAATTGAAATAGCTGTATATACGGTGTATTGAATATATCTTCGGCTTTTCTAACCTTCAGCCTATATATATATATATGATCTATTGAATATTGCTACAATCCGGCAACCGTAGTTTATATAATAATAGATTAGGAAAATACATATTTTTTTCATAATGATTAATGGTACATATATATCTTACTTCTTTTATCCAGCATTTAGAGAAGCTATAACCAAATTACATATTTAAGCACTGTTATTATATATGACTTGCCGCCCTGCAACATAAATCAAAGATTTATGCAAATTAACGAAGAAGCACGTTAATAAATGAGACTGTTTACATTCATTAGAATTTTGTCAAAGGCCTTCACATAGTCATAGACAACACATAGACACACTGATATGTTAATTTTTCAAGCTTTTTCCGGTTTGTCATCACTCTCAAATTACCAAGTCTAAGTATACACACTGCACTCGTGCGACTGATTCGACAAATAGTGATAGTGTTATTGTTCTATACCAAGTCACTACGCGTTCAATTATAAATCAACACAGCGAAAATCTGCCATCCTGTCATTACTATTCTATTCTAAGGTAAGTGAACAGCAGTATAGTTATTATAATTAATTCAATTCCTCCTTTGTTGAGGAATGAGGATATCGCTACTCGAACATACGTTTGTTTAAACCGTATTAGGACGAACTAATATCGATAATCTGCCACATAACATTAACTATAGCGAACCCGATAGACTCGAATGTACACAAGTTACAATGCTGCATCGTTGCCGTTGGAGGCTTTTAGCTTAGTAGCGAATCATGACCACTCACTACGGAGTAGGCTATATGATCTATGACTATAGTATAGACTGATGTGGAGTCTGAAATAAGTGATAAAAGCATCAAAACTTAAAAAATACATTTTATATACATAGTTTTAGGCGATGACTATTTGTTATTTCTCCAATAAGGGGATGGGAAAAAGGATCAATTATAAAACGACGATTAATTTAAAAGATATTATATTATAGTATGGTTAGAGGAAAACAGACGTGCATGTAATACAGCTGAATTTGCGTAGCTAATTGAGTAGCTAAGAAGAGACGTCGAATTCTCGTGGAATTGCTAGTCCATTGAAATTAATGCCAGTAATTTTTCTATTCAAGAGAAATGGAAGTTTTAAATGGTTTTTATATTCGATGCAGTACATTATATTTATAAAGTGTGACGTCGTCGAATCATGTTTGACGGGTTGACAGAAATTGACGTCGAAATTCCGTTAAGTAAAATTCAGAAGCATTATTATTCAACGAATCAAATCCAGTGGAAATGTTTTATTAATGTCAGCATGAAACGACATGAAACAATTAAACGTTCAAAAATAATTTATCTGGCAGTGTTTATAGATCATATATTGAGACAGCTTCGATTCTGAATTCATAAATAATTTTTAACGATATTGGCCCAAGAACGAGTTAATGGCTGTTTGGATTGTTTGTGTTTGATGTGAAACATTAGATCCAATGCGGATTGTGGATAGAGAGTATATGAGTATACGTGATACTATGCGCAGGGGACTTACGACGCCTTGCTCACAGACAGAGTTGTAGACTGGCATCGTGTCATTTGGAATCGAGTCGAAATTTTTATGACTTGTGACTTGACTTGTTAATTAATCACATTAACGACTTGTGACTTGACATGGACTTGCAAGAAATGATTGTTACCAACGCAAGTCAAACGTAAAGTCGTAAATTTCTAGTGATAATTAACTTTTCTACAACTTGCACTGCATGGAAATTCATCGATATACTGCGACTATAGCTGCACGTAGCCAAATTGACATATTGCAGTATGACTGTGAGCTAGTAATGTATATTATATTATTATTATATAATGCGGATTAATGGACATTTGCATTATGGACCAAATTTTGATCTCAACAAGTCTAGATAAAACTTTCATCACAGCTTGAAAGAGCATCGCAAAATTAGTAATATTCCAAAGTTTCGTTGCGACATGTTGTAAAATGTGGATAATATAGCCTTGCGAAGTTTGCAATTTTCAGTCATTTTCTATTACAAACGGGAAATTGATAGCCCCAAAGGGTATTGGGCTGTCAATTTCCCCCGCGTAAAGGTCCATACAGACCGGACGTGATTCGGCAACGCGACGCGAATTTTCAATTTTCAATGAGATTTAACTTCAATATTTTTCTATGTTTTTCAAATATTCGGAACCACGTAAGCAATTTTAGCTATTGGGTCTGCATATCTTGTAAAATTTTTCATAGTATCCGTTGACGTTTTTAATTGTTTTTAAAAATTGAAAATTCGCGTCGCGTTGCCGAATCGCGTTCGATCTGTATGGACCTTAATGTAGAATGACTGA